TGCGAATTCATTCGATTCATTTATACTTTTGTAAGAACGGCGCGCGCGCGCGCGCAAGAGAAAACAAAAAAGAAAAACGGGTTCAAAAATCGTAATCGCGAACCGTATTACACGTAAAAAAAAAAAAAAAATCAAACGTTAGGTATTTTTTTGTAATCATAATAATATTTCTACATCGCGAAAATCGCGCGATTTCAACGGCCGGCCGATGCGATTTACTCACGGGTATTTTACCACCGAACCCGCGGTAGCGTAGAGAAAAACCTTTATCGACGTTTATAGTCCCGTCTCCCTCCTCCCCTCAACCATGGGGAAATCGCAACAACGTTTTTCGACGACGTTTCACTATTAATTTTTAAGTTTTTTTTTTTTTTTTTTACTTAAAACGGAATTTCTACGGATTATGCACCGGGATAAACGTATCGACCAATGCAAATTGTGTCGAAAGGCGAATACATTCACAAAAGTGGGCAGTCCGCTCGTTTTCTATAATTAAGTCGTTTTGTATACATCAACACGCTCACCACTCTGCGGTCGCGCCGACACAGCCCTAGAAAAATTACAATATTCGCCGTAGCCTTAATAGAATTTCAAATCGTAATATCATATGCGAAAAATATAAATATATCGATATAAATCTACTAATATACAATACATATATAAGTGGGTACATACATTATACATTGTAATATATGTTATATATGTTTTTATTCTTAAAAAAAAAAAAAAAACCACTACGAATTACGATTGAATAAATTTCTTAGCTCACGAACTACTTAACGAGTACCGTTCTTTTTTACTAGTTTAACTCGTTTTACTACTATACGTATATACGTATATACATACACACACTTAATGTTATTTAAAATTTAAAATTGATAGCGTATAAAATTGCGAAAAAATTATTTATTAAGTATGTTGTTTTTTTTTTTTTTTAATATAAATTAAACATATACTATAATATATACCTAGGCAGGCGATAACCTGACCGGGGACTGTATTAGCGCCTGAACAAGCTTAAAACTATACTATTACGTTTCGTACACATATTACCCCAAAACAACAACCTAAACTAGTTTGAATCAAATGCGTGGCGAAATGGAAAAAAATGCGACCAACGTTTCAGTAGTTACGTCTGCTCGTGGTACTCGTCTATTGCGCGAATTCTCGGGTCCGTTTCACACGGAGCTGCCGACCGCACGATTCGATGATAAAATATCCGACCAACTACCAGCCCTGAGGGGGGGGAGGGGGGCTCCACCCCCCGGCGACGAACGGTATAAGAAAATCGGGGGAAAAACACCGGAATCTCGGTTGCCCGGGAGGAAAAACTGTGTAGATACGACCCGAACGTTTCGCGACTGGGACCGTTTACGAGTCGTCGTCCGTCTAATCGGCTCGCGCGTCCCGCGATTTGACCGGATAATTTTTCGGCAACGAAACAATAACAACACGCACCGTAATTGCGCGCGCGTGTCGCGCACTGCGCGCAACGGTTGAAAACCACGCCGCGCTTGTACGTTTCGGAAAACTGTCCGGAGATGAATTTCATTCCCGGAACCTAGGCGGCTCGGGAAAACCGCGTCTCCGTTGAATTTCCACCGGTGTCGCGGGAAAAACCGCGCGGCGATGCCGACGGAGCCGAATTTTCCGGAATCGTAAATTTATCCCGGCGGCGATATGACGACAGGTCATACCCCGATCGCTTTTCCTGCGACTTTCACGCCTCCGGGACGACCGCGGCCCGAAACGGTTGTGTTCATCACGGCCCCCCCCACCCACCCATCCGTCGCGTGTGTCGATTGCCTACGACGATCCGATCGTCGAACCGGTCAATACCCACTCGCCGTAATTTTTTCAACGCGATCGACGGCGCCAAAGTGTTTCACGCGTTCCGCGATTCGGTCGCGACGACACGACGACGCGTTTTCGACACGTGGATGATTTCCCCCCCCCCCCCCAATAGACGAATTTCTTTTCGGAGGGGGGAGGGGGGGTTTTCTTCGTAAAAACGCAGAGGTTTTATATTGTTTTACTATCGTCGTCGTCATCATCATCGTTACTATTTGTTGTGATTGTTATTATTATTTTTTTTTTCTTCGTTCCATCGAAAAACCGAACAGTTCGCGCACATTTATTATCAACGCGTACGGTCCCGACCGACGTCATAATATTCATTGTTGAACACCCGTAACGCGTGAGAATATAATTTTTACTGCGGTTACACATTACGCGCGCTCCGGAATATCGTGGCCGGCGACGAAATCCTCGTCGACAAAAATCCCGATTACTCCGATTGCGCATGCGTCACGAAAATCGTAATAATTAATATTATTGTCATTGCGTGTCGTACGCGATTAACGGCGACGGCGGCGACGGGGGCGACGCGATTTTCACGGACGGGGGAGGGTAACGCGCGTCACACGAAAAATATTTGTTTATTATTATTGTTATTATTTTATAATTTCCCCCCCCCCCCCCGGTATCCGTACGACACCGACGTTAGCTTTTGTCGTGTCAATGCGATCCCCGTAATTTACGGGATCGGTATCCGCAGCGCCTTCCCAATTCTGCCACCTCCCCCCACCTCCCTTCCCCTTGGGGCTCCCTACCGCGCCGGAGAGTTTTCGAACGTTCCGATAGACGCGATGCGCGATCCCGAAAAAAAAAACCCCGTCGATTATCGGCCGAAACGGCGCC